GCGCCCCAGGCTTCGAGGCGCACTGCAGCGGCCCTCCTACTCGTCGCCACCTAGCCCCCGCGGGCAGTAGGGGTGGTAGGACTATCTGAGCTGTTGCACGTTTTTGAGTTCAGCCTGGTACTAGATCAGATTGCTGAGCTTGCTACTTTCTCTACCAGATGCCCGTAGAGACACCTGAGTGGAACCCCTGTGAGCTGCCTGTGGGCAGAATGGCTCATCTAGAGGATTAATAGGGCTAGCACATGAGGAACTCATCTTTAGGAGAGAAGTACAAAGTCTGACAGGCACATTCCTTGAATGTACACTTAGAATTGAAACAAACTGGAAAGAAAACCACTTGCTTACTTTCTTCCCTCTGTATCTCCCCAGGGTTCAGAGTTTCCCACTCTTATTCTGTGGTTCAATGGGATAGTCAACCTTTCTGTAGCTAAAATCAGATTAGTAGTTTCTACAGGACAGGGTAATTCCAAAATAAAGAAAAAAACCTTTTTCCCCCCTGCACATTTTTTTCCTTTGAATTAATGTTATGATTCACTTATTTCCATAAGAGTTGTCAATCATTTTGGTTTATACCATCAGATATTCACTGGAATGACAGGATGATAGAGTAGCTGCGATTGTCGAATAATCCCATGATTACAGAAGATGGGTTTTTATAAAACATGGTGAGACCACTGACCAAGTCACCAGGGTTGGCAGTGCTGCAGATGAACGACCAGCAAATGCTATACAGGAGAGAGAGAAACCACTTGCACAGAGGGAAGGAAGGCACTCTCTGGAGTAATAGCAGCTACTTCCAAGAACATGGGGAAGATTCTTTCTATTCTTGGCACCAAAGAGCTGCTGGGTGTGAAGGTCTCATGTCCTGCAGATACTGAAGGGACCCATGACTCTCGAACTATTTTCTGCAAATTCTATTAATCTCAGTAGCTCAGTATACGGGCTGTGTCTTAACAATCTGTCCAAACCTTTAATAGGCTTTCTGAGCCACTACCTCACAGCTTACATACTCACAACACAGAAGCAGTATTTAAAAAAAATCCACTAATTTCATCAAAGAAATTGTTTGCAGTACGGAAAAATTCTCCCAGTAGAAACTTACACATTGTCAAATCATGCAGACACAGCAAAGTTTGCATTGCTATGGAAACAAAGCTAAAGATGGCTTATGCTGTGAAAAACAACTTGCAAGTGACTGTGAAAAGTAAGTTTATAAGAATGACACCTTTCGGGTTGATCTTGAAAGACATGATGTAACACAAGCATCTTGGGTTAGAAGGCTGTTTTTATTTAGTTTTCCACAGAGACAAGTTACTTTCAAGTCTGACATCAAAAACTATCGGCATACATATATGAGCTATACAGGTAGAGAGACGTCTGTCAGTACAGAGTTACACTTCTCCTATCAATCAAACACTTCAAGAAAAACAAATATGGTCCCTTCCATGCCTGTCTAATAAAAGAACTGCTAAGTCAGGATTGAATATTGATCATAATGTATTTTCTTTATATGAATCTAGTTATTCATAAAAGACTAAAAAAAATCTAGTATCTAATGTTTAAACAAAACATACTTTATACATTTGGCTAAACTGAAATATCATACCTTGCCAAATGAAAAATGCTCTCTAACCATAGTTTCCCTAGCAGCTCAATAGGTATGCAAGGCATGCAGTTCATTTCCTGCCAAGGCTGAGAAAAACGGGTAAGTCTGAGATAATATTGCTAGTGTGCTTGAAAAAGATTTTAGTTGTTAACGTGGTAGTTTACTGCATATACATATTTCGACTCTTCCTCTCCTTGAAAATTTCCCAGGTACAACTTTTGGGCTGACTCCATTTTAGCTCTCAATGATGGAGGGCTCAATGGGAGGCAGAATAGGATTTTCCAGAGCGTTACAGTCATCAGTGAGGAACACCAAGTCCTGGAGAAACAAAAGAGAAGGCTAACATTTATAAGGAAGATAGCACAATGTTGAGAGGCTCAGGCTCTGATCCAGTTTTGCTCCTTGGGACAGGGTGGAGACAGAGGGGGCTAAAAGCAGAGACCATGTCCCTGTTGGCGCATCTTGACCTACCCTTCTGCAGTAGGAGATCATGATGGTGTACAGGCTCCGGGCTTTTTCCTTCAGCTCACTCACTTCAAGCACTCTCTCACATCTGGGGTAGGCCACAAAATCACGGAGTTTTGCCAACACACAGTAATTCTGCAAAGCATGCAAAAGAGGTATGTGTAACCCTGCACAAACACAGATTTATGTTTCTCGTCTACCACTTACAAAATTCTTACTGCCTCTGTGGGAACCTTGAATTCCTACCTCTATGTATGAGTAATTTATGTAACCTTCAGTTAGGAGAATTCACCATCAATATTTCATAACAAAGATGTTTGGTCCAAATAAGTGCTTGGAAAAGTGCATAGGTGCAGTTTTGTTCTGCCAGCTTCTTTCCCACATGCTTTAGGAGATAGCAGTGCCAATACAATCAAATTTGCTCCTGTAGTAGGTGGAGTTACCTACAGAATAGGCGCACTGTCTCCCTTTTAAGAGAGCACCTGATTTAGCTGGTGAACAGATTATCAACATCTCACAGACATGATTCCTCTGTTCCCGTACTATTGCCTTTTGGCAATACTGTGAGCACCAGGCAAAATTTTTTCAGAGTAATTTTTACCTCGGACTTTGCGTTATCAAAATAAAGCACAGCCAACATGAATGTCACAACGCCCTTGCGAAGCAGGTAAATAAATATCCCAGCTCTTGCTTTAAAGCAAGGGAAACTGAGGCACTGGGCTCACATTGCTTGGTCTTTGCAATGACGTGAGACACTGGCAACTCTGGAATTGGAATCTGGAGAGTCCTGACTTGCAAGACTTCATGGTGTAGTTGCCTCTGGCAAAATGTGTCAGATATCTCTTACTTAGTCTGATATTTTCTACTTTTTAGTTACTCAGTGGAGCACTGGGAAAAGAAGCAAAATATGTTGGATATCCCAGGGCAGAACACTATGACATAAACTATGTGTGCAGGAGGCTATTTTGTCTTTGCTGGGAGATGTCTGTTCTGCTGTCTTTTCTCAGTATCACAGTTCCATATCTTCAGGCATACTTTTTCTTTCTGGATTCAAGAAGTGGCTATTTAAAACAGGAAAAGCCAGCAAGGTATTCCTGTACTTCTTTTTATTAAAACTGCAGTGCCAGAAGCCACTCATGACATAAAACGAAGTAGATTTATTAAATGAAGAAATTTTATTCTGCATTTCTTTTAAACTATTATTCAAAGGTTTTTTGCACATATTTAACTTCTGAAAACATTAAATTAATAATGTAGAAATGGTAATCACTTCAAAATATTGATTTCCTCATTTTTGAATTTTTAAAGAAGTAAAATCTCAGAAGCTCCATAGGGATTTTAATAAGGTTCAAAATGAGATTTTTTTTTTTTTGTCACTCATCTCTCTAGTTAATTAAGTTTTTTAAAATTCGTTTCAAACCACTCTTCTGGTGTACAATCTTAAGAGTTATCCTCTCTTTTCATTAGCTGTTTTTACTGCACAGCAGTAAGAAAGAAGTGTGAAAACTTACATGTATGTCCAAGTACAGCCTGGGCAGCATCTCCACACATGAGTCCTGCAAGAAAGAAGAAAGACCCATTGCAATTCTGTTTTGAGAGAAACTTGTGTCAAAAGCAAGCAACCTACAAGCGTCCTTGCAGGAGCAGTTTTTAGGTAGACTCACCACAGCTTTGGAGGTCTGTAACTCCTTAAAAGACTCCGTGATTTCTTTGCTCAGAGACAACACCCTCGAGTAGCAAGTTGGAGGGGCTGCGTTGGCTAACAGGGCAGCAGAGAGCAGAGCAATCAGGCTCAGCAGCATCTTCATTGTGAGGAGTTTGTCCAAGGAGGAGGAAGGGAGGAAAAAAATCACCGTTAGTGGTTAGGCAGCCACTGGTAAGAGTTAACGAGTAAGTTCGACAAGTCAGCCCCCAATTAAATAGTCTCCTGCATCAATGGGAAAAAAAAAAGCCTGGGGGTGGTCCGAGCAGCAGCTTGCTGCCGTTTTAAATTTCCTGCCAACCTATGAGTCAGAGCTGCTAGAGCTTTCCTGGCTGGAGCAGGGAAAGGAGGGAATGAGGGTGACAAAAACAAACACTACTGGCACTTTTCATTCCAGAAAGAAAACAACCTAGTGAGCATCTCAAGCAACCGACATACGTGTACGAAACAGCACAGGATTATCAAAGTGTTGTAGGCCTGATCCTGTACGTGCTTTGGCACATACGCCTCTTTCTTAAGAACGTAACGAACAGCTGTGTGACTGCATAGGCTGCAGACAGAGAGAAATCCTTCCAGGACTGGTGTCATATGTTGGTAGCATCAATCAGACTTGCTTATCATCCTTAGCAGGTCTGAAAGGTTATCGCTATAAAGGAAACCTCCCAGGTCTAGTATTATTTTCTCTTTTAACCTATGCAAATGCTCATAATTTCTTAATCAAAACAGTTTTGCTTGTTATGGCTGCTTGGGGAGACCTGTGTATTTACACATTTGTGGTCTCAAACAGAACGAATACATCTCTATATGGCTGTCATAAATGTATAAAAACTATTTTGCTTTCCAAGTTGAATTTATGAGGCTCTGTTCTTTTATTAGATGCCAGACAGAGCTGAGAAATCCAGATGCTGGGATGCAGGTGTGAGGCTGAACATATGTTGTTCTTACATGTTAATTGTCCTGTAAAATGGAGGTACCCTCGAATGAAGAACTGGTTATTTCACAAGTTATCCCCCCTTCCAACTCCCCCTCCCACCCGCCCTTTCAAATTCAAATTCTAGCTAGGTATTAACCAAAACAGTAAAGTGTCTGATGAAGTACTGCAACCCCCTGGCTTTGCAGTAGACCAGGAAGGTTCATCTGAAGGTGGGAGAAGGGGAAATGACTGAATGACACCTGCAAAAGAAAGGGGCTTCCCACCAGCCATTTTAGAGAGAAAATCAGTCTTGAAAACTAGTTTTGGGGAAAAAGAATTACTGTAAATGTTGCAGAGGACTCTGACTTAAATCCACCAAAACACCTGGAGGAAACAGGGCAAGAGAGCTGCATAGTACTGTCTTGTTATTAATTTCTTTGCTTTCGTAAAGAACGATTGGTTTAGTAACATCACATGCTCCTGAGGGTTAAAGTGGTAGATACTCAGAGAAGAAAGAAAAGTTGGGAGTCCTGGCTGTGGGGAATTTAGGACTGGCCTTGGCGAATGGGCTGCTTGGTCTTATTTTCAGGAAAGGGAATTGCCTAGACAAGTGAATGAGAGGCCAGAGGAAGACAGGAAACCTTCTGAGATGGCCCCAGGCAGCTGGATCATTGATCTGAACACGGCTACCTAGTGCATGTCCAAGGAAAGGATGCTACTTACTGTGAGCCTTGCCATTAAAGAAACAGACTCTTAATCACCATCTCATTACTATAAAGAGTAGCTGAGGGTAGGAGTGAAATATTATCCTTCTATCACATTCTCGTTTGGCAAGCTGCTAAAATGTAGTTGCTCTGCCAGAAGAGCAGTCTTCTGAACAGCGTAAATGCTCTCCCAGTACAAGAAGTCAGCAACCCAGCTACTGCTAAGGATGGTTTCAAAATGAAACATTTGCCTTTTTTTTTTTTTTTTTTTTTAAGTGCAAGCAATATTCTCTTTCTTGGTATTTTACCTATATTAAGCCTACAATAGTGACTCCATTTCAAACTATAATTAAATACTATGGATCATGTTCTAAAAGATAGATGTCAAAGTGACTGTGACAAATGTGGTCTTATGGCCACTCTGTCTGGCACGAAACACCAGCAAAACAACTTTCCAAGTCCTGTGTCCTGGCCATATTCAGGCAGCTGAAAGCTATTAGAAATCTTGTTCTTTAGGACGGGATAATGTTAAAGGTGTCAACACCAATTTGGAATTACATTATGAACTGAGCAATACATTGGTTGCCTAGGGCCAGAGAGGCAAGTGTGTAGCTTCCTATAGCCTGACACAATACCCTGTCTCCCAAGTTGGGGTGAAAGCCCCATGCCACAGAAGCCTCACCCAGTGGTCACGTCTAAGGGAGTCTGGCATAAGCGCTGAACGTCACCTATTGCAGTCACAGCCCTCAGCTCCAAGTAGAACATCCAGAGGAGAAAAAGCCCAGCACTTGCATAGCACTGAGGGGTTACGATTTTTGCCCCAGAAGTGGGATACCTGGAATTCATTTCTTTCGCAGTTTCTGAAGGTGCAGGGTGTTGGTTTGGATGGCCATGTTCTGAGGTAGTGACAAAGGGAAGGGGGAGGAAAGGACTGCCACCTCCGTTCATGCCTTTGCACTTGAAGTCTGCCTGGCCCCACAGCTGCAGCGTGCATACCCACGACTCTTGTCCTAAGAGGTGAGATTTGCTCAGCCCCACACACTTGCAGAGATGCTTTGCCACCGACAGGCATGGGAAATGATCCACCCATCGAGTTTCTTCTGCAGAACAGGGAAATGCAATGACTTGCTGAGCGAACAAGCTCTTCTTGGCTCAGAAAGCAAAGCAGAGGCTGGATCTAGGCCTCACCAAAACATTTAACCAAGTAAAAAAAATTACTCTCTGCTTTGTGAAGGGGCAAAATTGCTGAAGTAACTTGCTCTGAAGTTTTTGCTGCAGTATTCTTGCCTTCTCTTTGGTTTCTCTTTGATCCCATATTAACTAACTCAAGAAAAGCCACCTGAGATGGATGTCTACTCAAATAGGTAAAAAAATGAGCTACCCTCAGAAATATTAGGAAAAAAGTATTTCTTTTTTTCAGAAAAAAAGGAAGGACTGGAGTTTAATTTTCTTACCTAAATCTTCTCCTCCCTGGGCCAGATTACATGCATAGTTGACTCTGACCCAGATGGATATTTTCCAACGGCTACTAGTTCATCAGCACTTCTGCACATCTCAGCATGCAGAATATGCAACTCAGTTCAAAAAATATAAAAGATATTTTCTATTGGTAGCTCATCAGTAAGATTATCCTTGAGCTCTGAGTACATTCAATTTATGGTCCAGATATGAGCAAATAACGTCTTTTTCTCTAAGAAGCTCATTGGTGACTTCAGAACTTGCTAGTGACACCAGGCACTGGGAGTCCTTTCAGTCTAAGGCACCTGGCACAACTCTGAACCAGATACACAGTTACTGAAGCCCTTGAAACTCCAGACTCTCTTTTCAGTGACTGTTTTTATCCAGTCACTTATGCAAAGCCACTTATTAATTCTGGTGCATACCCTGCCTGGGGCAGAGAAGGTCTTTAACAGGGACATGCAAGCTGTTCTTCACAAAGGCTAATAGCATCTTAAAGGCAATATTCAAAATGGACATGGAAATAGTCTTTAGAGCTACAGGAGGGGAAGGGGCAAAGATAAAAATATTTTAGAGTCAAAACTCGCCTAAGGATTGCCTCTATGGAGAAGCTGCTACTTACAGTCCTTCCAGTCTGTGGGAGAACACTTAGGCTGGCATTAGAAGGGAGCACAGCAGGTGTCAATCAGTACCACCATATTTGTGATGATCATCATGATATGGACATCTCCACCACAGACACATCTTTACCATACTCCTCAATTCAGTGAGCGTATGAGGGCTCTGAGGGCTCAGGACACATGCTGAGTTTTACATCCACTCTTGAGGCTGATGATGTCACTACAACCCTGAGTGCTACTTACAGTGCATTTATTCACTCTTTTATAAGGAATATTCCATAGCAAAAGTAGACACACGGGTTGAGAGGAAACTTAGAAGCCTATCACGACATAATTAATTTAAAAAAAATTTTTGAGCTATGTTGTCCTTTTGCTTCCAAGTTACTGAAAACTCAAACAATAATATTTTTCTAAAAGTCAAAGGACTCACTATGCAGGCAGAAATTCCTCCCATGTTTGAACAGTCTACCAGGGCCTCCACCAACTTTTGACAAAAGCCCTTTCAAGTTGCTGACTTCCTAATACCAAAATCCACTTGTTTAATGAAAATGTTTATTTTAAAATAGTTGGGGGCTGCCATGAGACACCTCATGAAATGAGCTTCTGATTATATTGAAAAATAGGAAAAGAAAAGTAAAATGGCGCTTTACAGAGAAAGCCGTGTGTATTTAAGAAGCCCCGTGACTCAGTCGGCTGTTGTGGCAAAGGTGCTACTTCTTGCTTCAGAGGAGAGCTAAACTGCCCTGCAAGCTTCGATCTCAGCACAAGGCTTTTTGGAAACCCTGGCATTTTGATTAAGGTCTTATCTGCTTGTCGTGTTTTTCCTTTCTGTGCAACAGTGCACTTTGTTGAGCCTTTCTCTAGATATCAGCACTGAATTTTGGGATAGGGGTTGTGCAGTCTCACACATTGCCCTGGGTCTTGGGGGTGCTGGTGCACAACGTTGCCAGCTGCCCCGGTACAGAAGGGAAGCCGGGTATGGCAGCACAGTTTGCCTGCACTTGAAGCTGGGGTAATCCAACGTGTCTCCTTTTCTCTTTCACTCTAGCAATAAGTCTCTGCTGGTGATCTGCATGGCTTGGCCAAGCTGTGGGCAATGGACAAGGCAGGCAGGCAGGACCTCAGGGCTGTCGCCGGGCTGGTGTTGCAACACCATTTCCCCATGAGAGGTAAGCAAAAGTCCTCTTTGCTTACTCAGTGGTACGGGCTTCTTTTTTCTACACTGCTGTTGTTATTTTTAAAAATTTACATATATATTGAGGAAACAGTTGTTACTGCTCAAAAGCCTGTTCTTCGATAAAATGGTTATAGAAGCAGCTAAGCCATCTGGGTCAGAAAAAGAAACGAGATGTTCTGAAATCTGGAGGTCTTGCCAGCACGAACCTGGCACTGGGCACTTTCTCTGCAAAAAAACCATATGGAAATGGGGAGTCCTGTGGTCCAGG